GAAGCAGCACAGGGGGGCAGGCAGCTAATCTGCAAGAGGAGCTGTTTTTTAAACTGGCTTCCTTCACAGATCAGTTCCCTCCTGTCACCCCATGCTGCTGCCTCTGTATCAGAGGCAGCAGCGCAGAATTATAGGGAGCTCCCGGCCCCACCCCCAGGAACTAGACACTAGTCGACTAACCTATAAAAATTCATGAGGTTACTCAACTATTCAGTTAACTGATATTGAACATCCCTACCCAAAACATCTTCCTTTCCTCCACCACCGCTCTGCAGCCAATGAGAGCTGTGATTGCTGATACCTGCAGAGGTGCAGGTAAATACAACTGTGATGGCCCAGTTGGGACTAACCTTAGATGACTGTTGCCTTTTTATTGTCCACCCCTGTGCCATGCAGACAGCGGCACGTTCCACCTCTTCTCCTTCCCCTCCCAATCCACTTGTCCAACATAGCACCTCCCGTTTCTCCCCTCTTTACCTTCCATCACTGTCAGGTTCACTGTTGCAACTGCTGACACATCTAAGCCTCGCACTGTTACCCGGTACACGCCAGCATCCTTGGGCTGCACCCCCTGGAGCACTAGGGAAGCGTTGTGGAAGGAGAGAGTTGCCCGCTGATGGTACAATTCTGCCAGATCCATGCTGTGCTGGCAGGTACGCATTAATAAAGGAATTTTACATAATTTTCAACATTATAGTTACGAGACTAGCCTGAGCTACTGAACACATTCTATTCTCAATTTCAAAAATACTCCCTTTTTTAAGATTCCTCTCAGAGTAGGATTAAATTTCTGCTGCTAAAATGGCTAAATTGAAAGCAGGCAGACAAGATGAGGTTGGGTTATCAATTTTTTAGCATGTCATTAAATAGTTACAAGAAAGTAATTTTATAGTCTTCCTGTCTGTTATATTGTCTGACTTGAATTACTTCATTATTCACTAACCAAGTGCATAACAAAGGCTACATTGAAACAACAGAGAACAAGCTTCATTCATTTCTTACTTTTAGGGAAATTCTGTCCCAGCTAAACAGGATAATGCTCTTTAAGATGTTATTAATTGGTGTTTCTCCGTCTTAAAAAGTTAAAAAACTGAGTAACCGGACGTATTATTGATTGGTGTTTCTCCGTCTTAAAAAGTTTAAGAAACACTGTTCTAAAAGATGCCAGAGTGATCTCCCATAAGCATTGGGCTAGCTGAAACCTAAAAGATGCCCGAGTGATCTCCCATAAGCATTGGGCTAGCTGAAACTAATGTGC